AGATACAATAGACGCCGGCAGACGTCATTAACTCTAGATTCTCTAAAGTTTTCGAATTGACGCATAAATTTAAACTAATCGTGTTGTTGACCATCAAAATAACTTAACACAACCTTTGGCAATTCTAAGCCTACTACCGGTGCCTTAGACATCATATCTTTCCCACGTACTTCAAAACCATCGTTCAAACTACGACCTTTAGTGCCCTCTATCAATGGGTTAAGATAATAAGTACTGAACATAATATCATCCTTATCAGAGAGTGAACCTCTAAAGCCAAAAGGATCAGAAGACACTTAATTTTTAACATAATCTTCATTCAGTTGTCCTTCATAGCTTCCACCCAGATTCGAGCTTAGCTTCTTCTTCTTACGAGACTTCATTATAGCACCTGACATTCAAAGAAAAAGGAACTCCAATTTATTGATACAATAATCATCAGAAATTAGAATTCACGGGTTCCGTTTCTTGAATTATTGTTGGCTATAAGATATCCGAAGGCTTCTTCTCCGAATATTGTTTAGAACTATAGATGCTCTATACTGTCTTAAAATCATTTTACACTTACATTTACATTTTAATACTCCTTACTCTGCTGCAGGATGAACGGTTAAACGATGCCCTTGTCATATATCCAATCGCCTTGTTGCCCGAATTTTTACTTTTCTGTTCTGTCTCTTCTCAGATCCCTATCAGCAGTGGAACAACTGTAGTGAAATACTTTTATGAAGAGAACACGATTGGTTTGATAGAAACATTTATTATTATAACCAATTGTACCAGTGATCCTTTAACTGTACATTTTGTCTACAACACTATTTTTACGCACAACTTTCTGTTTTGTATTGCTGCCATTCTTTGATGTAGCTGCTCTTTAATTCACTCACTTTCCTGGTTTAATTTCGGTGTACTTTCGACACCACGAAATCTCCAGCAAATATATTCTTTACCCTGCATGCATTTATCTTATCGGTGACGGGTTCGTAATTAGTATTTAATGGTGACCATAGTCAATCTCGACTCGATCACCACTAAACAACCACAGTGCTTCTACGTAAAATCCGTCTTCGGTATGCGCTCGTCAGGATATAGCTTGTATCAAGCAACTGGAAATGGACACTTTTTGACAAGGTCACTCCCGAAATTTGCGCTCTGCTGAGTACTTACTCTAATTGCTATCACTTGTTGAAAATGTGGCTGTAAACAAATGTTCATGACCGGGAAAAGCGTAAACTTGCTAATGCAAATGGCTTTGATCAAACCAAAAGCTTTTGGCAGTAAATGTGTTGGCAATAAATGGAATTTGATTTCGCCTGCAAACTAGAATGCCTCATGTAACACATGGGTGTTGGGGACGTCAGATCCCCAGAGCTCACTTGTAAAAGCTGCCAATTTTTTAAGTTCATTCCCGAAATTTTGAATTTTTATGTTTACGCACCAAAGACGACTAGTTGACCTTCTACTTAAATTTCCCACTTGAGGAATCCTTGGCTGTCATTGGTTGATGGATTATTTTAGTGCGTTATTTTATGGCTCTAACCAAGGGCGCTTTATCATTCTATAAATAAGCATGAGTTGTGTGCTTGTGGCGATCGTATTTTCTGGGTGTCTGTAAATACATTCTCTCTGTCTTATCAAGACTTCTTCCTCTAGTTAGCAGGACTCGCGACGATCGGATTAGAACAGCCTATCGCGTCCCATCCCTTTCTGAGATAGTATTACAGTCGGATTCTTAACACCGTTTTCCTTGACAAGTTCCAACAGTTGTCTGCTGTTGCTTATCGCTGCCTCCTTTTCCATCCCTCGCTTTCGTTACGCACGACTGTTCACGGTCTTTACATAGGCTTCTTCTTAGTCTATGTTTCATCTGACTCCGCTCCTCATCACGTTCAGGGCCGAATGAGATGAATTTTCGAGTAGCTGTCAATTTAGCAAATGTTACTGAAATAACCCATTTCTTCCGTGCCTTATCGTTTACCTTACTGGCGTACATCACTGTGTCTCGGCCGCTTTTTGGATGGGAATCACTTACACGATCGTCCAACTGTTTTTCTAGTTGCTCCTAAAATAAATTATTAGCTTTGCTATCGTTAAGTAGAATCTTAAGTTTTCCTTGCTCCAGTCTTCTATTGAGCCCCCTATCAGTGGCTGATAGAGATATGGTCTATTTGTGTTCAGCGTTGAGTTGACATCGGCGGTCACCAGTTCAAAGGGTATTTACTCGGATGCATAAAGCTTGTATTTGATAGGAACAGGCGGTTATATGATCTTAGTTGAGGCAGGCAGTCGCCAATATCTGTTCCTTGAGCCACATTTCCCCACTTAACAACACCTAGATTCTTATTGTTCACTTGATAGCCTAGGCTCATGACGACCGTACTTTACTTGGCACTGAATCAGCTTTGCATCGATCCTAGATTCAAAATGAAACAATGATAGTAGGATAACGTCGAACTTTCAAAATATAGTACTTCCCTTTCTCTTAGAGGATTTATCATTAGACGTTGAATGGTTGAGGTTCGAGAAAGCCTATTGAAAAAAATATCGTTCAGACTGCATGGCGTGGTCATGCCGTAGTTTTTCTCATTAGATATACTTTACTATTAACATTAATTCCATTTTTTTAACGGTTCTTAAATTGTAAGAAACCTTAATAATTACAACAGGGCAGATAATGATGGGACTTTGACGTCATATCATATAGATAAGACAGTTGTATTATGGCCATTCAACTGTATTATGTTAGGATGATTGTCCTATTAACATAAAGGAGTTCATAAATAGGTATAGTACTCATGAACTATATAAGTTCCCAAAAATATTAGTACTCCGGACGTATATTTTACCTGTATGTCATTTGTGAATACGAAAAAAGATTATGCGTCAGTCGAGTTCATGTGATACTCCGATGACATTAGCTCAGTAATCTCCACTGTCAATATAGACTTGGTCTTTGAACAAGAGTGAATCAGTAAGATCCACTTGTGATACCTATCTGGCTGAAAAATGTACGATATAGCCTGCAATTTTTTAAATTTCTGATTCTCATAGACTTCTGAAGTGTCTCGCGCTGCCAGGAAATTCGAATTACATGAGTTGACCTTCCTAAAGTCACAGGTCTCAGTCCCTCCTATGCTTATAAGGTTGTTACACGTTGACCTCATCCTGCTACACTGATTAATAATAATCTATGATGTACACAATAATGTGTTGGGATAATTAAACAAAAAAGCTATCTACCAACAGGTTCTCATAGATATTAAACATACGATATAATGTATGAATATGAATGTATTAAATAGAAATTTTGACGCTATGAAACAACTAGAATAGTAGTAATTCGGGAAAGAATTTTTGTAACATATATAACATTCAGTAACTTGATAGTTCATGAAAGCCTCCATATATCTGAAAAGAAGCAATCTGTGATTCCACAACTTATTGTTTACAAGTATGACGAAAAGTTTAGTATGAGATTCATTGATAACTATAACAAGCAATGGCGCAGGTGCATCCACTCTTTGTGTGCTTTTTTAATTATAACCTTCTGAATTCCTCATAATCTCTATTTTTCTCCTTCTAAATTTATCTCACTGAATTATACTTTTCGAATCATATCTTTGCTCCCTAATCTTTTCCATTGCTGCTAATAATTCTACTATCGCTATCACTCTTGGATTTGAACTGACATTTACGTCTCTGTGCTGATGTGGTATGGCAACCTGAACTGATGTACTTATGTACGAAGTTCTGTGTTGCATCTGTCTGATAACAATAACAGATGACGTATGATACGACAAACTTAAAAAAATAAAGAGTGGAAGTTAATATTAAAGAAGGAAGAGCATTACTGTGTAAGAATTTGATATACAGTCAACAAGAGAAACAGACGGTCCACATCATCAAAACAATTCCTTTGTATGTTGAACTTCAATAATATACAATTCGTTCGTCCCACTTTAACGCTTTCAGTACAGTACATTGGGTCCTACTAGGTTCTAAACTTTTAGAGTCTAAGTGCTCTTAGAGGATGGAAACAGTACTGATAATTGTGACTTCAAGACACTGATGATAAGCTGAAACATATTAAACATAATCGGATCCTACCCGATATATCTGAACATATTCCTTAATTCTGTATCCATTATTTTCGGTTTTTAGTCCACTAGTCTACCGAGAAGTTCACTTATCGACTAGTACAAATGCAAAATTGAACGGAAATTTAGAAACACAATGAACTCGTCGAAGATATTTCAAGGCTAAATCAATAGAATATAACTAACTTACCACAAAGTATCCAGTTAATCAATGTTTGAGTGATTACAGTATTTTAGATCAACAACAGCAACTATCGTTGTTTAAATCCTGGACTAAACAAAAGCAATCCGGGTTCCAATGTCGATTTATCTTAACGGACTTATATAGCGAGGTTAATTTAATCGTCATACAAAACCGAAATGCGTGAGTTGGTTTGCAAGCTACATCCTTATTAATGGTGATTAGAGGACGCTATGCTTCCCGCTATTAGTTACAGGTATCGTCAGACATCGTTGACGCTGTCATGATAAAACAAAAATATCTCAGTGGTTTAGGAACTGAAGCTCAAGAAAAGGAAGATAAAACCATCGCGGAATTCGGGCAAACCGACGAATTCAAATTTCTTGACACAGGACTTAGTTCGTGAATATATTAATATAATGAAATGCACCTTTCTCAGTGTAATGCGAAATCAAGTCAACTATGCGATTCTTAGGAATCTCAGAGCCAGAAGAAAAGGAGATACTTTCATTTCCCTAGAAATATGTTTATCCCAGCTTTTGAGAATGCTTTGACTGGGTGCTACATTTTTGGCATAATTCTAATGAAAAAAAAAATCATTTTACAGACTATTTCGATTAGCCACCTGAAACTTATGGCATTAAAAATGAGTCACTTTGACTAGTCTGCTTAGTTTGGGAGATTCAAAAGCATTCTCACGTAAAAAAAACTTTAGAACACAGAATAAAATGAACAAAGTTTCAATCTGTCTGCACTTACAGTATAAACAAACAAATAAGATTGACAAACTGAATAAATATAATTAAACAAAAAAAATCGGGACAAACTGAATTTTTATATACATAAATGGCAAGTTCTGCTTACACAAAACAGAAAATAAATGTATATTAAATTACGTACTAAGTAACTTATTATGACATACATCTGAAATGAACCAAAAAGTACAGTAAAATAAAATCAAATAAACAGAGCAAAAGATATCTCAGCAGTTAGTTAATCTGGTCTTGTTTGTGACTCATTAATAGGCTCATCTACAATAATTTGCTGATATTGAGCTGATTCCGAAGAAAATAATGAAGTACCGTTTGTTTGGTTTACAGTTGTTGTTTGAGATGGAACACGGCGTGCAACCATAGTTACAGTTAAAACTTGTACATCAGGTGAGTCAGGTTGATTGGTTAGATTTTCTGATTGTTGTTGATTTGATAGTTCATTACTCCGTGAAATACCAAATAATGAAGCTATAGCTGAGACAGTATTTACAAGAGTAGCAGTAAATACAGCTCCACAAAAGAACACTGTTAATGTTACTAAAGCAAATGTAGAAACTGAATTAAAATATTGTCTATAGACAATTCTAAAAAACCAAGTGAAAAGTAGAAGAAAAGCGAAAAGTGGTTTCATAAGCCTAGTACCCATATCAAATTCAGTTAGCATTGAATCACTGGAAGTTGAAAAGCCAGAATTACGTTCTGTATTGTTTGAATTGTTTACTGGAGATGATCTGTTAGATGATACAATAGGAGTTGTAACAAGACAATGTATTGTTGAGCCGTCAGTTATACCATAGTCACATAGTCGTTGACGTTTAGGTCTTTCGTTACTATTAAAATTTGCTTGGCTTTGTAATACGTCCATTAATTCACGACCTTGAAAGATAAGTCTAACGTTCTTTTTCTGATTAATTAATTCATCTACAAAATGCTTCCTGAAAGTAAAAGTATTGAAGTTCATTAAGTTTTAAAGAAGCATGATAATAAGTAAAATGTTAAACATACGCCATTCTCTCACGATCCCCAGTCATCCTGAATGGCATATCGATTTAAGTCCTCCCAGTCTACATGAAGTTGAGAAAGCTATAGGAAATCAAAAAGGAGGTAGAGCAGCAGGGCCTGATAGGCTTAACCCTGAGATGTTTAAGGATGGTGGTCCAGTTTTAACAGTTAGACTGACCGAGATCCTAGGTAGAATCTGGGAACTGGACGTAATCCCATCTGACTGGTCTCAGTCGCCATTCCTCATACAAAGTAAACAATATATAGACAAAATTTTGTAGCTGATTAACAGAAAACTACTTTTCCATCAGTAAAAAGTAAGAAGATCATACATTTTTAATCAGATTTTATTGAACAGATGGGAAGTGACACCCACCCTTATATCCATAACAACACACGAAACCAAACTAGTCAAAATCAAATGCTCCATATACTTTTTAATAATCCTCCAACCTCCATCACCAAACATTCTCATGTTCCTTTATCACTTTGCACCGCTAACGTAAACGATTTGAGTACGTGAAACGTTATTCTTGGTCTCCTCAATCCCCGTTCTAAACTATACATTGGAGCTTTCAATGTTCGAACCTTATACCAAATACGACAACAGGCTTCCTCAGTCGGGACTTTAGAACTTCCGCTATCGATGTATGCTGCGTCTCGGAAACGCGCATACAGGTCGTGGGTAGAATCATTCATTTGATTTTACTTTTCCCAAATAAAGAACCAACTTGCTCTACACTCCATGTATCTGGAAGCTCTGCTGCTGCGTGCTGTGTCCTCGCTGGTGTAGGAATAGTAGTCCTAGGACAGAACTAGTCCTCGTAGACTGGACGGGACGGTCAGAACTGGGAATGATAAGTACACTCGCCGTTGCCTGTTTGTCATTTCTGCCGATGCTCCCACTGCCTGCACCTCAGATGAGTTAAAAGATGAATTTTAACGAAAACTTTCGAGCGTTCCTCAAAAAGTTGGGCCCTCTGATGTTTTAATAATGGCTGGTGTCTCAAGTGCTCAAGCAGACAGACTGAGTAAAAAGGAAAGACACCTGGGTGGGCCTTATGGTGTTGCGATTCACAGAACAGATAATGGCGACCGTCTGCTGCAACTATGCTCAGATAACCGCATATTTCTTGCAGGTACTAACTTGAAGCATAAGGAAAAACACCTTTCGACATGGCAACCCCCAAATTCTTCCCAACACTGGACCCAACTAGATCACATCGCTATTAGCCAGCGATGAGGGGGGGGACTCGATAGATGACTTTCGCTCGTTCTGGGGCACATGTCTAGACTTATATCATTGCTCTAGTGTGAGGGCGTATTTGCTTGCATCTTCCTGGACGCAGGGAAGACATTGCAATGAAACCTTTTACAGTTCGATTTAATGATATCAAAGCTAAGAAGATATTTCAGGAACAACTAGAAAAAAGGTTAGGCAACCAAGTAGTAAGTGATGCCTACCCTGAGGTAGCTTGGAATGATATTTAAAAAATCTGTGGAAACAGCAGTGATATCTGCCAGCAACCCAAACCATAAGATTAGGGAGAAGTCATGGATTTCAGTAGCGTACCGAACTGATGGATGCTCGAGGACTCATCCACCTGGCTCTGAGTGCGATGAGGAGCGAAGTCAGCTTAGGTGTAGGGTGATAAAAAGCCTACGCAATAACCGTGATGGGTGGAGAAAGCAAGGGAAATGGAAAAGGCAGCGGCGATTGGCAACAGTCGACAACTATTCAGACTCATCAACAAAACCAGTATTAGGAATCCAAATGTAAGTGTAACTGTCTCGGAAAACGATGGTCTTATTAGTCATTCTCAATCTAGGAGATCAGATAGATGAGCAGAACAGATTAGGGATCACTTTAACTGGCCTTAAATCACCCTTTGGTTACCAATGATCTCCAGTCGTCTTGAGAGGCGAAACGATGTAAGTTCCTACTCTTAATGAAGTTGAGAAAGTTATAGGAAATCTGAAGCAAGGGGAGCAGCATACCACAATAGATTAACTCCTGAAATTTTTAAGGAAGGTGGTACAGTTTTAGCAGTCGTATTGACTGAGATTTTAGGTAGAATCTAGGAATTGGACGTAATCCCATCTAGTACCAATCACTGATTTTTCCAGTCTAGAAGAAAGGACGAAAGCTCTCTTGTGGCAATCGTAGAGAAATCAGTTTAACTAATGTAGTGTCTAAAATATTAGCCTCGATAATACCTAGACGCATGTATTCACACTACGACAGGTCCTAGAACACAGACACACATTTCGGCGTATAACAATAGTTGTATCCCTTGACCTTAAGCGGCATTTGACTCTGTTGATCGTGAGGTTCTATAGCAGTACAACAGAAGTACATTAACCTCATACAAACTCTGTACTCAAACACTACTGGTGCAGTGAGAGCTTATGGCAAATTGCTATCGGAAATTACTTCAAGTGGTGTCCGTCAAGGTTGTTCACTCTTTCTATTCTTATATATATATATATATATATATATATATATATATATATATATATATATATATATCAATATGTCAATATACACTAAGTTGAAATCCATATACGTTGATAGATAGCAACTAATTAATCGGAAGGACACTAAAAATTATGTAGACAACATACTTCTTGAAACGACTAACAGACATAGTGGGAGACGCATGTACAAAACGTGACTCATCATTAAGATATTGCAATTTTATGACTAAATGCCCATTCGAATCGGATGTAGAATTTATTAGCTCTTCTCTTGTTTCATTCTTTTTTGATTCCTCATCAGATGAAGATGAATTTCCTTGATGAGTTGAGCTGATTGAAGTTTGCACTATTTGGATGAGATACAAGCAGAAAATAATTGTTTATTTAACATGTGACTGAGAACTAGAAATACACGCTTTTGGGTTACAAAAATTATTGTCGTATCAAAGTATTCTGTAAAGTGAGCTATGCAAAAAGCGAACAACACAATAAAATGGAAATCAGCTGAGAAATCCTATGGTATTCCATTTAGGAAAACTAAATTCTAATACCACAAGCTGTATTCATCATATATACTATGATGGTGTCCACACTGTTTCAACGTAATATGTGACAATTGATTTAAAATTACATTAAGCACTGATCAAAATACTTTACAAAACCCTCCTCAGGGAATCGAAACCTTAGTAGAACTCATCATTTGACGTAACAATGTAGTTGTAAATGATGATAATGGCCACCTGGGTGTAACTAAAGGACTGTTATCAAAATTCGCGGCAGACTAACTAACTTTGTGTACATAATTCCCACTTCGATTTCACAACACCCAATCTGCTAATAGTCTTCTTATCTAATTAACTCTCAAGCAATGCATGAAACTGGTGCATAATAACCGCTGACGTTTTCATTCTTAATATAGACTCAATTTCTACGTTTGCATTACTACAGATTGTCTTGCGACATGTGAAGATTAGGGAAAGAGGGGGGAGAAACTGACCAGCTAAACCTTAAATGAGGAAATAAAATGTTTACAATTGGTGCTGGAGTTTACAGGACGGAATATAGCGTTTAGTCTCATAAAGCCAATTCAGGTATATTTCTCAGTCGATCTCGAGCTATGTATAAGTAGTACGAACCAAGGTCATAATACAAACATAGCAGTTGTTTGGATATAATAATTGTATTGTGTTTTAATCTTAGCAGACAGAATTAAATATCAAATTTTTAAACTATTGAAAAGTAGCCAGATTCATTTTAATTGGAATAGAAACAATCACTCGAACTTTTGAATCATGATTGAAAAATTAGTGATACTTACCGGATGAACGTTTACGGACGACTGTATCAGAATTAGCTTCATCTTCAGAACTAGAACCCGAACTTTCGGCGAGAACATTTTCTGATGAATCAGTAATGTTATGTTCCACAGCTTCTGGTGCATTCCTAGTTTCTGTTTCAGTGTTGTTGTTTCCATGCGGATGACGGAGTACGGTTATTCTAACAGGCATCAAGTCCCAGTTAACTCTTGTAGAGACCCAGGCTGCGATAAGAAATAAAACCGTGCCCATACAACTGAGGCAAAAAAGTAACTCATTCCCAATTCCCTCAATAATGGTTCCGTATGGATTCATTATACCTGAAAAAGTTGAATGAACATTAACATTTACGTTAAATCATTGTTAGTGACCACAAAAAGATATCAAAGTTTAAATGAACTACTGAAACTTTTATGTAATTTGCGTAGATACACAGGAAGCTTGGAGTGCTTTGGAATGTTAACACATGAATATGGCATTAGAGTGAAGTAAATAAATGTTAAATTTAAGTGCTAATACTTTAGATGAAGCAGAACGGGAGGACATGAATAAAAACTATAGGTCAAAGAAATGCAATATAATGAAAATAAAGAACGCATTTGTTTCAGGTTATATTACTAGACTATTGATAATTAGAATATAAAGATATATTAGTTTCAGAATGATTGTAGATGACAACTTTTCAACCATAAATGAATAAGAGCTCGAAGAAATGTATGGAGTACCTTACTACGTGACAAAAGATTTTATGACTCAGGACTCAAAATTAGTATTCACAGCAAAGAAGTGCTCTATTTCTATACAAAATAACTTGAATACCAAACCAGCCCGCTGATTACAATTCCACACAAACCAAATTTCTTATACTTACAAAACTACATTATTCTCAAAATCTCACTTGTTTTCATGTACTATGTTGATAGGAGGTCGGACTACGACGTGTATGCTAAGCCTCCTGTTGCTACCCGAATACTACGATTTCACTGACTAGTATCACCGTCGTTCTATATGATCTGACCTTTTGAAAAGCGAACAAAACCTAGGGAATCTAACGTCAAGATAACACAAGCCTTGATAGTTCTACTATCGTTTTGAAGGCATGGAGAAATATCCTAATCATTCAGACTACAGGCTATGTACGTGATATTACAAGATGTACAGAGTGGCAAGAGGGATATGAAAAATCTGATCACACATTTACTACACATAAAATTTTCTCACATCTACTAGTGAATGTGTTAGCAACATCAATCGGTTTTGAAATGTTAGTTCAGCCTTGAAAAGCTAAATCTCTTCCCTCTGTCGTATCACAAAATAAAGGTTGATCTCATTTTGATGTATATAATAATAAAGAATGATGTTGTACCCGATATATCTTCCCTTTTTCTTTCTACTAGATCAAGACAACTTAGAGGACACAGCAGGCGAGTACAAACATAATATCTATGGAATACAGGTTTTCACATCAGGTTATTAACTCCTAAGACTTGTTTCCCCTAAAGCGTCTGCCACTGACTAATTCGAAAGAATACTAGACACTCTGAGAAGCTTACTGAGAGAGGATTAACACAGGCCTTAGGCCTATTGTCCTTAATACAAATCTGTTTCAGTAGCGGGACAAATCACATTACGCGGTAAGCCTCGACGTCGAAATTCACTTACTAAATCTGGTTAGGAAAAGTACGATAAGGTAAATATTTCCGATATTTTAAATGTAAAAGAAAGAAAAAACTGGATTTCTTTGAATATTTGGGTGCAATGATTTATTTAACTACATTGATTCTAGTTAGTTGTATAGGTTAGTGATGAATACTACGTGCTATACCTTATTCACGAGCTAGAATGAACCAGCTGATTTCTTTGTGCTAGATTATTGTTCTTTTGACACAGTTCTAGGTATTTATTAGTGTCCAGGGGATGATTTTCCAGCCATTGGACTGCAATAATTCTAGTCAGTTATCAGTTTGCGAATTAGTATATCTCGTGATTTGAATAAGTAAGTTTGTTTAAAGGCAGTAGGCTTTCTGGATACCGGCAGCAATACATTTTTTACGAGCTTCTGATATTTGATTCACTTTTGTGCGTTCAGTTTACGTTGTTTCGTTAGACTTCCAAGCATTTGGAATTTTTCAGTGGTTGCTTTTTTCGTAGTGACTTCACTATTATGAAGACAATGCAACTGGTTTGATAAAAATATTCACTATTGTAACCAATTGTACCAGTGATTGTTTTACTGAACCGCTTTGTTTATAACTACTCTGTACACGCAAACTTTGCGTCTGTGTTTCTGCCATTTTGGCTCCACTCTCTGTAATTTTGTCCCTCTGTTCAGGCACGATTTCACTACCACGAAATCGCCAGCAAATATATTCTCTCGCATGGACTTACTTATCTCCCCTATGATGGGCATGTAAATAGTGTGTAGTGGTGATCATAGTCAATCTCGACTCGTGACAATATAGAACCTTAGAGTATTGTGTCCAACATGGACCACTCAAGTCAAATAACTCAACTGAGTTTATAACAGAATAAACTAGGTCAAACTCACACTCACATTCCCACTCCTATTAAGAAAAGTTGTAATAACGAAAGTAAGAGGAAAGTGCGTATTAAACTCTCAGTGGCCCAGCCAACCGTTGAGAGAGAACGAAACAGTATCACCAACAGTTTTAAATTTAGAGGCTGAGTTCATGTCACTATGAACCACCCTATCCTTTGTCTTGATGTGTTCGCATTCAAAAATGGCTGTGAACTTCGGAAAACGAAAAGATATAGCTGGTATGCAGTAGTCCTGGAACATTTCGAAGAATAATCTTCCTAGTCATTTCGAATGTTGTGAGGATCAACTGATATCAGTGACGTAACATACATTGGTGTCGGTTGACCTCGGTCAGAAACCTGCCAAACAAGTCGCGGAGACGAATTATCACATGCCTTTGTAGCAACGTAAGAGAGCTAAGGAGTAAAATGATGCAGATCAGAAACGTTTACTCTCAGTTGAATCTGTAAGTCATAATCGTAACTGAAGCATGGCTATCTCCGGACAGCGGGAATGGCGAAGTGAGCTTACAAGAGAAGTTGATTCCGAAGCAATAGTGTACATGAAATGCCGTTTCAGAGCCGTAGCATTCAACTGTGCAGAAATAAGTAACGCAGTAGAATTATACTGGTGTTTCTTTAAGGCAGATGTCAAAAATACCTGATTGAACAATAGATTTGTAGAGGATGTCCAATATTTTAAGGACTAGTCACATTACTTTCAGTACTGTCGAATGTGGTTTTAGGACTACATGGATGAGAACAGTATCCCTTATGTAGCGCACGCTGGTTAAGGAAAGGCAAGTCATGCGCTTACAAACTGTTCATAGAATTGGACAGCTGAAATACCTGCCAGGATAAAATATAGTACTCATTTGAGCGTACAGAGTAGTAATAAACAATGAGGTTCAGTAAAACAATCACTGGTACAATTGGTTATGATGAATGTTTCCATTAAACCAATCGCTATCTCTTCTTAAAGGCAAATCACTTCGGTTGAATATCCTTTTTTGTTTTGAGCTTTCTTACGACCTTGTTTTTATTTTACCACTCTCAGAAGTAAAAGTCCTTTCTATCCGTTCACAAATGGTGATTTGAGAAGCTTATGAATCTTTATTACACTACAGTTGAAAGGAAATGATGTGATTGCTTAACAGAGGTTGAAGTTGCATCAAACAATGAATACATAGCTTGGATTACTGTATCGTGGTAAGCAAACAATGTCACATGTACTATACCTGCACAGAATGAATGAAAGCTCACCATAAAATGATTAATGTCAATGAGAAGAGCATGAAATATTCAATATACAGAATCCCCAAACTTCTATATGTTCCAACTTCATGGTACTTATTAGTTAACCCGCTTCGGTAATGTTTGGACATGGAGGTATTGAGTAAAGTTGTCCAACATAGAAATGGTTCGGCTCGGTGGATAATTCTTCTAAAGATTAGTGAAATGCTTTACCTTTACAGTACTCACCAACTAAGCTATACAAGCTCTTAGAGTTCTGTGTTTTTGTGAAGTACATAATTAGATGTTTGAAAATCTTATCTTCTGTAAGAATCTGCTAAGATCATCGTTGTTCCCCGAACTCAAGACTTTTATCGACAGCCACTGACATGCTTTTAGGTAGACTAGGAAATCCGACTCCAGGTTCATGTTATGAAAATGGAGAATTGTATAAATTATAAAATTCCTTTCATGATAGAAGTTTACAAAAGGGTAACAGTTTACACGGTAATGAAGGGAGATTCATGAGCATCGATCACGACATTACTCTGTTGGTTCTTAGTTCTTTGCCTAGAATTATTTTACTTCTTCCGTAGTCAGTAAAGCGTTGTAGAAGTTCGTGTCGAAGGATAACTGTGAACATGTTTATAAACTAATTACGTCCTGGTCTTTACTAGTTATCGCATCGTGAATCAATAACAAGAAGGAAGAGGTAGTCTAGATGAATGAGTATATTTGCCGGCAATTCCGTGGTATCGAAAGAACTCCAAAATCGTGCCAGAAAAAATAAGCGAATGGTACAGAGCAGCAAAAGAGAGATGGAGACCACGCAAAAGGAAAGTGTGTTATAGAAGTGCGAATGAACAAGAAGTTCAGTAAAACAACCACCGGTACAATTGGTTATATTAATGAATGTTTCTATTTAACCAATCGCATTTTTATCGTAAAAGGGAAGTCACTACAGCGTACTATTATCTACAAGCACAAATGGTCACGTCAAAAGGTGAGAATAAATAAATAGCTATTGTTTCTCAGTCGGTCAAATATCGCAAACATGGATTCTGTATTAACTGTAAGTCAGTCACTGACATTTGTATCTGTCTTGCTTTATATTCCCCTGAGTATCTAGCTGAATTCTTGATAAATGTACATTTTTAGTTAATTTTCTGTTGAATCGGAAGTTGTGAACAAGATCTTATCTGATCATTATTCCTAGACATTTATGTTACTTTTGACCTTAACCTTCATGAAAATACTTTACAACTTCTTTTAAAGTCCTTTGGATGGGTATTATTAAGAATTGTCATAAAAAGAATATACTCAGAAAATATTATCTAAATTACTATTATTATTATATTTCCTAAAAATGATTACATCGTAACCAGATTTCAAATGAATTTGTACCTTTTTTATTCAGTAGTATTGATCTATCAATACTTCAGTTTTAACAAATGATAAAATTCATCCTAAAAACATGAATTCTTTAAATACACTTATTGTCAGTGTATATAATGAGTTTGAATAAAACTATCTCAATAAAACTACCAATGATAACTTATTAAATTGAAAATTTATGAAGTGATTTAATTTTAAACTAAATAATTCCAATACTCCTTTCTACCTCTTTTTATGTTCTTTATTTCTCTTTAGACCTTATAGAATCTATGATAATGGCGTTAAATGAGGTAATTAGATACAAAGACTTGAAAACGTCTTAATTTGAAGTCAGCGGAAATGTATATTTACTACTGAACTGAATCATAAATAATAAAGTGGTATTTTGAGTGTATAATGGTTAAACAGCTATTCATTTGAAACGCCCTATATCTAACAACTTACTTTAATCTTTTTACATTCAAGGAATTTTCATAATTAGTTGGAGAATCTTTTTAATTTAGGGTATCAGTCAGTGTTTTTATAAGCTGATTCCACATGAGTGAATTTACCAAATAAGCTGCTGAATTACCTACTGCTTAGTGAAATCTAGTGCAAATAAATATTTAGGCTTTTCAATAAAAAAATATTATTATTAACTTTCCTCCAAATGATCAATTACTTTGAAACGATAAAGTCTAATCTTGGTACTGATTGCTAATTTAGCTTCTGTTCTTTGATTCTGGATGTGTCGACTGTGAATGATACTAGTACATAAAAATGTGTACGAATCTACCAAACTTCGCTATTTATCTAAAGTTTATGTGAATACAGAAATGTAGTTTGTCTTTTTTTATGGTGAAACATTTTTCTGAAAAGCGCTAATGAAAAAATTCTTACAAATCATGCCGTTAAACATGAAAAAAGTATAAAATATTACAAAATGTACATAGTATGAGAACATATGAGTAAACGTGAACGGTACTTATAAATGTATTATTATTAAAGTACATGAGAAGCAAGTGAATTTCATTACAGTGCTTTGTAATGAGTCAATGTCACCTTTAAAATTCACCGATTATTAATTCTAGTTCGTGAATTTATTGCAAAGACGATTATAATCAACACCCTTAGGTAAAATGACTTTCATCAGACATTTATCCATAATAAGCTAGTTTTATGCAATAATTACATCTTCACTGGTTCTGAAATACTTACACTGTTTCAATACGATGAGGATACATATACTTAAAATGAAAAAAATTGCCCTTATCCTTTAGTCTTAAAAAAGTCCAATTACCCTCGTGTTTCCACCATTTAACAGTTGATATAAGTACTTGAGAATGTATTTAGACATCGATCTTTTCTCAGTCATTGAAAAATCTCATTGTTTGTTACAGTAACAATATTCTAACCGAGTTTACGTAATTCATAAAAGATAGTGTAATGAGATTGTGACTACTTGTCGCTAGATTACTATGTAAAATCCAGTTAAATCCAGAAAT